TTTGAGGGTGAGGGTAGTGACTAAACTTATCTAAGAAAAGGGGATACTACTGAGCAGGTGCGATACCACATATTGTGATCTGAGCAATAGGTACGTTGGGATCCACATAATTTTTAGTTAAATTTAACATTTGAGCTGTTTGCTTAGAGTATGTACATTTATCTTTTCAATTTCCTATTTAAAGGTTTCTTTAAGATGATATACAACACATTTTAAAATTCTAAGATCAAATGAAAAATAAGCGGACTAAAATAGAGGATCTCCTAGGGGTGCTACCATACCAGGAGAAGCCTGTCTGAGAGTTGGCATTTAAGGGGAAGCCTCAAAAAGAGATGAAGGCAAGCACTGTGTTGTTTCAGTGAAGAATGTTCCAAGTTAGGGAGAGAGGGGACAAAACGTTTCAAGGTGGTAAGGTGAGTACACACGTGGGAGCTAAAAGGACAACAGAAGGACAACTTCCCTGGAAGAGAATGTGGATGGGAAAGAGTTAGATGTTCCAGGACTGACAATGTAGGGTCATGTAAAATAAGAACAGATTCTTAATGTGACGAGAATCCAGGTGGAAATCTTGTTCTCTGAGTGTCATAATATGACACTTGTTTCACAGAAATTCTTTCTGGGTACTGGATAGGAAACAGAGAGTAGAAGAGAAAAAAGAATAGAAGCAGAGAGACTTCTCAGGAGCTATTTCAACCAGCAAGACACAATTGCCTTTGAAAACATCAAGATGCTCATTCTCAGATTGTATTTCCACTATTTTATTTACAGTATGTGGAATAGCTCATAATATTTTTTCTACTAGAAAGATACTAACATTTGTATCTGACCTTTCATTTTCCCTTTTAAAAATATTTTAATGATAAAATTTTAATTTAAAAATCAAACTGGCTATGATGACCCAAAACATTCAAATTCTATGTCAATATTGTGACATTTCCCTTGAGTCATTTGGATGACACTTTTCCAAAACCATTCATGAATTTGATGTGGGTAGCCAATAAGCTTACTTTCAATGTTGGAATATTTATGGCTTTTTTTCCAGGTATAAACAGAATGCTATGAAATTATCAAGAATTCAGCGTGACCAGCCAGTGAAGCCTCTCGATCGAGCAGTCTTCTGGATCGAGTTTGTCATGCGCCACAAAGGAGCCAAACACCTTCGGGTTGCAGCCCACGACCTCACCTGGTTCCAGTACCACTCTCTGGATGTGCTTGGGTTCCTGCTGGCCTGTGCGGCCACTGCTATATTCGTCATCATGAAATGTTCTATGTGTTTTTGGTGGATGTTTGCTACAGCAGGAAAGAAGAAAAAAAGGGAGTAATTAGATCTAGACCTGAAGCGGAAATCCATGATACATGAGAATTCTTCAGTTTATTCCAGCGAGAAGAGCTTGTGACGTAAGATTCCCTTCCTCCTGTGACCACTTGACTTTTCACAATTAAGTTTGTCGAATCAAAGTTTGTTTATGAAACACTTGATAATTTTTTGAAAGTTAGAAATATTTTATTGTGAAGAGAAAATAAAATCTGGGGGATAATAAAAAATAAATAAATATGATATGGGTTTATGTAGACATGTACTGTTCCAATTCAGAAATTATATCAAAAATTTATTTAACTTTATAATTTACATATTATACATGAATATGAGACCATCACAATATCCTGTCTTAGTATTAATATCATTTTATAAATGCTTAGAATGCTTTACTTCATTTTGGCATAGTATTTGGTAGTTTTAACTTCTATTAAACACCGTCCAATAATTAGAATTGCATAAACCACGTACCAGAAGGGAACAGGGACGAAAGGCCGACCTCAGTCATTGGTGACGAGATCACCCTAGACAGAAGAGTAAGTTGCAAGGAAGAAGCACAGCCCAGGTGAAATGTGTGGGAAAGGTACCAGAGCCGACCCTTACTGGAGGTCACACAGCAAGAAGTTGTGGAGCAGAACAGGGAGAGAAAGGTTTTGGCAGAATCTAAGCCCTGAGGGATTCAGGGCCTGGTGGAGGAGGGAGTGGGAGTGTTGACTTTTGCTCCCTCACCCCTGTGGCAGTCTTCCAGCTCCCAGTCTGTCAGAGAGCCCTTCCTCCCGACCAATCCAGACACTGCTGCCATCCCTGACTGAGGGCTTCCTGGGAGCAGAGCAGTGGGCTGCGGGCCCCTGTGGGGTGCTTCCCTCCACACGCTCAGTCTGAGATGGCAGGCGCCATAGTGCCCCACACAGGCCGGGGCCTCCATCCTGTGGGGGAAGCCACAGCCCCTCAGTCTCTCTTTTCCTGGATCCCACACCACCATTCCCAGGAACCCATTTGCACTATGACAAACTCAAAGGAACAGGGAGACACAGGAGAGGAACAGTATTCCTGGAGTCTGACTCATGAGGCAACTGAGGCAAAGTTTCAGGACTCTGATTTCATGTTATCTGTCAGTCATTCAGAATTCTGCAATTGACTTGATATGTGGCACATTATCAATGTGACCCATTTAAGGTTTGTTTTAGGATACTTACTTAATATTTGAAATATAGATAAACATATTACAATGTTAATTGAAGTTATAATACTTTAAAAAAATCTAAACTCTTACAATTTTAAGCAATTTTACTATGTTTTTTAAGATGGTAATGTGTATACTGAGAATTTACTGTATTTCTAACAGAAATGTGTTTTAACATTAATATTTCGCAGTAGCTTAGTGACCTCTGCTGGCTACATCAAAGCTTTTGTTTTGTTAGTGGTAATTTTGACACATGACTACAAAGAATTTCAAAATCCTTCCATCACGTCATGTCCCCTTTCCCTGAACTTTGGCAAACCTTGTGTCTGCCTCAACTAAGAGAATGCAATGAAAGTGATATATCTTCACTTCCAGGGCTTGGTGAGAAAAGGTAATACCTTCTCTCTCTCTCTCTCTCTCTCTCTCTCTCTCTCTCTCTCTCTCTCTCTCTCTCTCCCCTCTCCTTCTTTTCCCTGTCTCTGTCCCTCTCCCTGTCTCTCTATATTTCTTCTTCTCTCCCTCTCTCCTTTATTCCTATATTTCTTCTCTCATTACTTCTCTCATTCTCATGCCTGAACATCTATGCTTCTCAGAATCCAGCTATAGGCACTGGTACTAGGAAAGGAGGGAGGTAGCCGCTGGGTGGTGACAAAGGGGTCTCTCTTTTCACATCTGGGTACAGAGGTGACATCAGGACTTACTTTGGGCATCTCCTTCCCATTCCTCACCAAGCTACACCACAGAGTTCTGTTCAACACCAGGACACTCAAGGCAGGAAGAGTGATGGAAAAATCCAACTGAGAGTGGGATGAAAATTAAAAGCTTCATGGCTTACTAAGATCCGTAATGAAGACCCGTAATGCCATCCAAAGGGCTTTCAATCTTGATGTGGGTCTTCATCCAGAAGCCCTGAAGTGTTAGGTAGATAGTAAGGGATTCTGGGTCTCCTAGGGACAAAAGTGGTTGCTGTTGCCCCCATCTTGGTACTGACCAACCCTGATTCTCTATACTTGGGGAAGGAGGGACTACCCCATCAATCTGCCAATCAGAACTTGGTGTGCCAGCTGCAAAAGATGCAGAGCAATCTCTAGCCCATGGACCAAACCATTTGAGAACCATAGAGACTGGGAAGTGACCTAGAACCTGATATATAGTTAAAGCTCAGGTCATTTGATTCCCAACTGTCTAATCAAAATGGTTCCATGATGATGGTGACCTCTGAACCACAAGGGAGGTCCCTATCTGGACACTATAAAAGGACTCAGACCATAGCCAAGCTCTCTCTTTCTCTTTGCCCTTCCTTTTGACTGCCCTGCTGGTACAATGGGTCCAGTAGTCGTCCATGCCATATGCGCCATGCTTTGTAAGCACATATCATGCTCTTGCCCTATAATCTTATCTTTCTCTCCTCAATAAACCTCATTTCTGTGCTTGCCTAACTTTGGTGTGTCTGGTCATTCTTTGACCATGGGAGTGCCAAATACTGATGGTCTCAGACTGAAACCTAATGGAAGGACTCATGGTGCCCACATCCAACCCTAACATGGCATTCTGTTGTGAAACATGGAGGTGTATTCAACATTTGTTATGTGATAATTCAGAATTTTTTAAAAAAATATTTAATACAACCTAAAAATACTTCTTATTAGTCTTCATTGTCCAGACTGCCAGGGGAATACACCTCCTTGATCTGGGGAGGCTGTAGAGTGTGTGTGAATTAAGCCTTCATGGATCATCAGTTCCAGCTTACAGCATGTCACCAACACACATGTGGCAAATAACCCAACAAGAGGCTTCTGGACCCACACAATAATTCTCACTAATCATGTAGGAAGCCCAATTCAATGCAAGCCCATATAGAGGAAAGGCTGACATAAGACTTGGGCCCTTCAAGTTCTATTTTATTGAATGTAGCCTCTCCCACTCAGACAGACAGAGGCTGACCTGTCAAGGAGAGCCAGCATCATAAAATGGTGCATAATAGAGGTGACTGAGCCAGGAAGAGGAGGCATTTGCTTCAGTGATGTCATAGCCACCGGGGGCCACTAGGGGGTGGGTCTGGTCATTCCTGTGTCAGGAGTAATGATTGTATAGGAACGGGGCGTGAAGAATGTCATTCTGGAAACAGCAGTGGAGACGAAACGTGCTCTAAGTAACTGATTTTCACCTTCTCACTTCAGTACCTGGTAAGTTTAATTTTTTTTTTCCTGAATTTACTGGTAATTGGCTCCTTTAAGTCACCTTACCTGAACAAAGAGTCTGTTGTCTGGATCTGATGCCAATATCCTCCCTTAGCAATTTCAGGTAAATATAAGGTGGCCGTCACTTCCTAGCTCCCCAGTCTGCCCTGCACCCGGCGCCCCAGTGGCTGTAACTCCCCTGGGCAGTCTAGTCTGCTCAGTAGTTCCTTGGTCGAGCCAGGCCTGGCGAGCCGATTGCAGATTGCGTAGGGACGGAATTTGCCCGGAGAGTTGCTAGACTGGTGGGGGAGGGGCCTGCCACTGCACCGTATGGCAGCTGGGCTGTGACCCCCTCGATGGTGACAGCTTGCCCACTGGCGGGGCACCAGCACTGGGGGCGACTGTTTAGGAGGTGGCAGGCGCCGGGTTGGGGGTCTGGGTCATCAGGACGCCCTGTTGCCTCCTGTGTGCCGCCTGCCCGACCGCCTGTTCGGCCCCAGCCCTCGCTCTTGCTGACCCCCGTGCAGTCTTATTCACCCCAGGCAGTTACAGCTTAGAGTCCCGACCCAGTGAGCAGCTCTGTGGGGCTGGCCCCTCCTTACCAGAGGCCCGGCGTCTAACTGCCTCCCCTGTCAGCTCAGTTCGGTTTGGCCCGTCTTGGAGCCGTCCCTGCACGGTTCCCACAAGTTTCCACTGAGGACCTGACTCTCCAGCACCCTCTTCTCCTGCCGCGATTTCCCACCAGTTTCAGACAGGTCCCTGGCTGGGTGGGTGTGGAGGTCGGTGGGAAGCAAGGGGTCGTCCTGTGGGTCAGATCCCACTTCACCCCAGGTCTGGGGGCGGCGCCGCCCACGCGCCCTATTGTTTGTTTTGCACTCTCCAGAGAATGCGGTCTTGTCTCCCGATCACCTTGCCTTTTCCTTTTTTGACAGTCCTGCAATGAACTTCTGATGACTCTCGATGCCGTCCTTGTAGGGGGGAGACCCAGTCGTGGGTAGGAGACCAAGATCTATGTATCCTTCTCTGGGAGCAGGAATCCGGGGGGAGACCTTTATTCCGCCATTTTTTCTCCTCTCTCAACTTGGGCTTCTTGACCCTGCAACAGAGCGCTGCCAAATTGGGCTCCAGTGGAGGAACACCATGTCTTTTTTCAATTTCTTTTTCTTTTTTTTTTTTGAGACAGACTCTCACTCTTGCCCAGACTAGAGTGCCGTGGCGTCAGCCTAGCCCAGGCAACCCTCAATCTCCTGGGCTCAAGCGATCCTTCTGCCCCTCCCAAGTAGCTGGACTACAGGCATGCACCACCATGCCCTAATTATTATTTGGCCAATTAATTTCTTTCTATTTTTAGTAGAGATGGGTCTCACTCTTGCTCAGCTGGTTTCGAACTCCTGACTTGAGCGATCCACCAGCCTCGGCCTCCCAGAATGCTAGGATTACAGGCGTGAGCTACCGTGCCGGCCTTTTTTCAATCTTGATTCCATGATCAAGGTCTAGAATGCTTCACAACCTGAAAGTTGAAAGATTGCATTGCCAGAGGAACAGGTACAACAGAAGAGGGAACTATTTTGTCTCTGAAATGAATTTTCTTCCTTCTGATTCCAGTCTTTCTTCAGGTACCTTTTCTCCTGGCCACATAGGGCTGGGGCAGACAGGACGTCTCTCACTTTGCCTCCTGCTCTTCCTGCTTCCTGGAGTCATGTGCCTGGGTGGGGGCTCCAGTGAAAAGAGGCCCCAGGTGGAGCCTGGTGCAGAAGGCTGCCTGGCAGAGGAGAAAGTGGCCCATTTTAACCACTTTAAACTGTACAGGTCAGTGGCATTTGACGCTTACGTAATGTTGAGTAACTTTCACACCTATCTAGGTCCAGAGCCTCCTCATCATGACATTAAACAGTCACTTAACAATTCTCTCTCCGTGCAGGGGCTGTGCCGAGAAGAAATGATGAATGGAAAGAACTTGAGCACGGCAAATGAAGATCAGGTGAAAACTCCTGCACAAAGCAGTTTGTCCGCTGAGTGCAAAGCTGAAAACAGCTGACCTGGCTGGAAAGAAAGGATGGATGGATGGATGGATGGTAGAACATGAGGGTCAGGCGAAAACGCCTGCCCAAAGCTGTTTGCTTGCTGAGTGCAAAGGTCAGCCCAAAACAGCTGACCTGTATGGGAGTTGTTAAAGAAATTAACAAAGCACCCCGAGCCTCTGCCTGTGTCCTTGGAAATAAATAAGGGGAGGACCCTAGCTGAGAAGGCCATTTTATTTCTTTTTCTCGTTTAATGCTCTGGCTGAAACTTCCAGTACACTGTGGAGTAGAAGTGGTGAAACAAGGCGTCTTTGTTTCCTTCCTAACCTTAGGGAGAAAGTCTTTGTTTGGTCTTCACCAATAAATATGATGTTAGTTGTGGGTTTTCATAGACACTTTTTATCATGTTGAGAAAATTTCTTCTAACACTACTCTGGGGAGTGCTTCAATCGTGTAAAAGTATGTGATTGATTTTTGTGTAAGGATTGAACAATCCTTACATTTCTGGAAAATTCACGGTTGGTCATAGTGTACTTTTTATATGTTGCTGGATTCAATGAGCTATGACATTCATAAAAATTTTTGCATCTATACTCAAGAAAGATATTATTTTATATATTTTTTTATCTTGAGATGTCTTTGTCTTCCTTTGGTATCTGGATGAAGATACCAAAGTGATATAGTGAGTAGGTGATATAGTGATATAGTGATATAGTATAGATACCAAAGTTATATAGTGAGTAGGAAAGTGTAGAGGACACTCTTTTCTTGCATTTTTAAAAGATTTTTCAAAGAACTAGTGTTACATCTTCTTTAAATATTTGGTAGAAATCTCCCGTTGTGGGCTTTTTCTTTGGGATGTTTTTGATTACTGATTTAATCTCTCTACTTATTAAATGTATGTTGAAATTGTCCATTTCTTCTTGAATCAGATTATGTAATTTGGGTTTTTAATTTTTTTCCATTTTATCTAGGCTATCTAGTTTGTTTTTTGTTTATAGTATTCTCTTATAATTTTTTGATTTCTAAATGATCACAAATAATGTCCCAATTTTCATTTTTCATGTCGTTATTTGCATTTTTCCCCTTTGTTCTTTGCCAGTCTACCTAAAAGTTTATCAATCATCTTTGATCTTTCAAATGAATCAAGTTTTGTATTTTTGATTGTCTCTTGTTTTTCTGTGCTCTATTTTATCTCTATTCTAATGTTTATTATCTCTTTTATCTGCTAGCTTTGGGTTAGTTTGCTCTTCTTCCTCTGGTTTCATATAGCATGAGTTAGGTTACTGACTTAATATTATTCTTATTTTCTATGCAGATATTTACAGGTATAATTGCTTTTCTTTGAACACTGCTTTCTTTGCACTCCATAAATTCTGGTTTGTTGAGTTATACTTTCCATTTTTTCTCAAAGGATTTTTTAATTTTACATGAAATTTTTCTTTTACCTTTTGGTCGCATAACAGTGCATTTTTAAAATGTCTATGTATTTGTGAATTCTCCAGTATTTCTTCTGTTATCGGTTTCTGATTTCATTCCATTTTATTTAAAGAAGACCCTTCATATGATTTCTTTTTCTTTTTTCTTTTTCACAGAAAACTTTTTTCATCGGCCTTTTGGCAAGAGGCACTAAGTTATTTGCCTGGGAAAATAATCCCATCATATTTACTTCTGCTGTAACCAGCGTGTGGCTTCCTCTTTGCTGACACCATACAATTCATTGAGATTCTGAATAAAACTAAAATGAGGAGGAAGGTAGGATTCACTTTCTATCTGACTCCTGACTACCAGAGAAGGGATACTGATTTCCTTCTGCCCTTGGAATGTGTGATTATTAGCATTTGGACCTGGATTAGAATCTATACTAACAACTTTTCTGGGCTTCCAACTCAAAGATGGGAGATCATGGGAATCTCACACTTCATATTTATTTGAACCAATATATTATGTTTCTATAGATAGATATGTGTGTGTATATATAAATACATATGTATATATATAAATCACTTATTGGTTCTGTTTTTTGGAGAACCCTAAATAAACAGATTTTGATACACAGAGTTTTAAGAAACAGAATTTTAGGGGTGAATTTTATGAATTAGTTCCAGGGCTTTTGGAATTGGCATTCTGATATTATTTTATTTAAATAGGTGAATGATTCTACTTTCTGTGGTACAAAAGCATTGACAGTCTATGTAGTAAACTAGAAATAGGAATAGGCAAAATATCTGCAATCAACTCTCCTAATCAACCACTTATAAGGAGCAAGGAGGTAGGTGATTGAGTAGATGACACTTGCTAACATTTATAGAAATCATAAATATGACATTGGTTGGTGGCTACTAATGTCACTGGACAAGTGGTGAAAGAAAAGCATCAGTGCAGAATTTGAAATTCATGTCTAAGTGCAGTATAAATGATCAGAAGGCTTCTATGTGTGTCCTGAAGAAGACTCCTATCTCCCATAGCCACAAGACTAATGTGGCTGAAAATCCAGTGCGCAATCTCATACTTTGCGCGTTAATTTAAAATACAAGTTCAACTGGCATAAAAGGTTGTCTTCTGTTAAGGTGGGATCATTGATTGAGACAGAATGAGATCCTGTAAGTTGGGAAGGAGACGTGAAAGGACCATAATGAAGCTGGGGCTAGTACCCCTTAATTCTGAGGAGTCTTTGCCAATGGACAGGGTCACCCCACCCCAACAGAAACAATTTTCTCATGTCTGGGGGAAGTTGCTTCCCCACCAACAGTGGCGACAGCAATCCCACCTTCAGAGGTATTGGACTTATCAGCCCCAGTGCTGTCAGCCTTTCCACCTCTGAGACTACTAACCCTGCACTGCCTGAAGGAACCGTAATGGCCTTCCTGGAGGCGGGTCCCATGCAAAATAATGCTGATTCCTCTAAGGACAAATGCTCACCAACATCTTGGAACAAAGATTTAGTCTTCATCCATTTTCTGTTGGTGTAATAGAATGCCATAAACTGAATCATTTATTGAAAAGAAATGTGGGAGGAGGAGCCAAGATGGCGGACGAGAAACACCGCCAGACAGAGTGTCTCTGCAGAAAAGACAGATTCTAGCAGAAATTAGAAAAAAGAAGCAAGAAGACGAGCATACAGCGGATAAAGGTCGGAAGGAGGGGTACCTGAGACCCCAGGAGACTCCACGGGAGGAGACTGTGGAGGAGAACTGGAGGCTGAGACCACCGGAGCAGTCCGGAGAACAGCAGCAAGGGTAGGTGGATTTGCTGTTTCCCCTCCCCTGCAATTGGGACTGCTGGTGGGCTCCCCAGCGGGTGGAGAGACCTGCGGACACCAGCCCAGAGACGGCCACCGCCAGCCAGCGGTGAGCCTGTAGCAGACCTGGCACCAGGTTCCCAACTCCCTCGGGGCACCTCCGTGTGCACATTCCCGAGCCTCGTGGCAGGCGCCATATTGCCTCCTCCTCCCCTCCGCAGACCCTACCCGAGGCTGCCCAGAGAGACAATATAGCCACCAGCCGGAGGCACCTCCAGGGAACAGGACCTTCCCTTTTGGGACCCGACAGCTGACTCAGGGGAACTCAGACTGTGAGCTCCCTACCCGCCAGCCCTCCCAGGTGCTGCTGGCACAGAGTTCCCAGGAGAACGGTGCTGACTCAGAGGCTGAGAGACATAGACCCAGCTTGGGCTCCCTGTGGGTGAATTGGGAGGGAACTCCTCTCCCTGGTGGGGATACAGTTTGAACTCTGGGACGCAGAGGTCGGACCTGCAGACCAGATCCCGTGCACCGAGGTCTAGCATTGCCCGGGGCACAGAAGGGATATATGTGAACAGCCTACTGAGGTGTGTGTGCCTTCAGGGGCAGATCAGCGTCCTAAAGGGCAACCCTCCTCCCAAAAGAAGGACAAACGCCCAGCCCAGGAGGCGTTCCTGCGCAGGGAACCTCCCTGCCGGCATCACAGTCCAGGGAGGCCTGGTGGCATGTGGTCTGGCCTGCTGGCAGAGACCCAGGAGTAGCTGCGGAGTTGGGGAGGGTGGAAAGAAGCGAGGCCTGCTGCAGACTGCGGGTCTCAGACAGCCCCACCCCCACACACAGACTTTCTGGCTGAGCGGGACCATTCCAGCCCCGTATACATATGATATATGTATACAATTGAATATTACTCTATTTAAGAAATGACAGTGATATAGCATCTCTTGTATTTTCCTGGATAGAGCTTGAGCCCATTATCCAAAGTGAGATATCACAAGAATGGAAGAATAGGCGGCACATGTCCTCACCAAGAGGTAACCCCTAAGCCACCATTTTCTGACCCCTGAAGTAATTTTTAAAAATCAGGAAGAAATTCTAATCTCTAAAAATAAAACAGAGAGATTAATCTTTGTGACCTTGGATTTGCTATTAGTTTCTTAGATATAACAACAACAAAAGCAACCAAATTAAAATAGATAAATTGAACTTCATCAAAATTAGTGCTTTTGTGCTTCAAAACACACCATCAAGAAAATGATAGTCAAACACCAGAATTAGAAAATATATTTGCAAATTATGTGTCTCATAAGGGACAATTATCAAAAATATATTTGAAAATACAACTCAAAAGTTAGACAAATAAGTAACTCAAGAATGGGCTAAAGATCTGAATAGAAATTTCTTCCAAGAAATAAATACAATATCTGATAAGCACAAGAAAAAATTCTCTACACCATTAGAAAATAAGGAAATGTAAAGCTATCACTTCAGTCCCACTGGCTATAATCAACACATGTATAATTAAAAGTGCTTGCAAAGATGTGGAGAAATGGAAACCCATTGCTGTTGGGGATTGAATATGGTGCAGCCATTGTGGAAAACAGTCTAGCAATTCCTCAAAATGATAAACATACAGGTAGCATATGACCCAGTAATTCTACTTATAGGCATATACCCAAAAGAAATCAAAATATGTCCATACAAAGTTTAAATATGAATAATAAAAAACATTATAATGATGTGAATAAACAATAAATAACATTCACACATGTTAATAAATAACTTTTGGCCTTCATAAAAGCAAAAATTGAACAAAATCAATGTCTATTAATTGAAAAATGAATAAATAAAATGTGTCTATCCATATGATACAATACTATTTGGAAATAAAAAGGAGTGATGTCCCTATATAAGGAATTCCATGGATGACCCTTTTTAAACATTATGCTAAGTATAAAATGCAACCCACAAAAGACCACATAATTTATGATTCCATTTATTGAATTGCACGGAAAAAGAAAATTTATAGACACAGAAATTACATATGTGGTTGCGTTAGGGGAGGAGGGTGTAGAAATGTAGTGTGAGGAGATTAAAGCTAAAGCACACAGGAATTCTTTTGGGGAGATAACACCATTTGATATAGTGGATGTACAATTCTTTGAGTGTCTTATGAAACATTTAATTTTAATCCATCCTTGGTTAATCATATCGTTTATACATTATATATCAACAAAGTTTTACAAAAAATATCCCCATAGACAAGAAATACAGACTCAGCTGTATAATTACTTTATTTCAATAAAGTACTAGTTAAGTTATATTTTTAATTCATAATGGTTAATTCCTATCTTTCCTTATGCTTAGGAAGGTGAGCTTTTATGACTATGAATCAGATGAGTGTAGGTTTTCTAAATCCAATTATGATATGAGTATATAAGATGATATGTAAATCTCAGAAATATTATGGAAAAATTATAGGATCAGTTAGAATCTTGTGGTCAACATTTCTACATTACATCCACAAAGTCACAAATGTACAAATTACAGAACTTAGTATTTCTTTAAGCAATTTAGTATCTACTTTATTACACATTTTCTTTATCCCTAATAAAAGTTAATGGACACATCAAGAAACATCTTGATGAAGGCAGACTTGTAGATTGAGGAGTTACACATTGTTCTAGCACAACTATTAATGTAGCATTGAGGAAGTTATTTCTCCTTGTGTTCCTTCTTTTCCTTATTTAGAAATTAAAATATTTTTTCTATAGAACCAAAAGAATTCCTTCACAATTGAGAGACAGGTCTGTCTCAGAAACAAACAAGTAAAATCTGAGGTTTCCAAGGTTTCTAAGTTCCTTCACTAAGGGCTTGGAGATTATCTGTTTTAAAGACAAAAATCTTACTGATGTGTGAACATCCAAGTTTGTGTCTACATTTTATTAAATTATATGTCTAAGTTAAGTAAAATATGAGCCACATGAAGTGGTAGCAAATTCTATACATTCCTATAATTTAAAAAGAACTCTAGTTTCCATGTGTAAATATTATATATTTATTCTTAAAATAATAATATTAATAATATCTTCCAATGAATCCAAAGAAGTAGTATCTAAAAGGATTTCAACCACATTTTCAGAAAAACTCTTTATACACTAGAAGAACCAAGGATCATCAGACTACCTTCATAAATTGTTGTAACTGTATTCAGTACTTATTACAATTAGGTTTATGTGTTTTATAGCATTAATTGATAGCAGAGCTCAAATAAATGTATATATGTTAGTACAGCAGCTCTAGAAAATAAGCCACTACATTGGTAATTCCAGAGTGGCTTATATTAGTAATTACTGAGCCTTGTGAATATATTGATGTGATCCTAGAGAAATAATCTATTTTAAAAATTCCGGCCGGGCGCTGTGGCTCACGCCTGTAATCCTAGCTCTTGGGAGGCCGAGGCGGGCGGAT